CCCCAAATCCACCGGGGTCACCCCAAAATTCCTTCAGGGGCTTTGAGACCCCAAATCCCACAACAGGACCCCAAAAATCCCCAAAATAACCCCAAAAAAACCTTAAAAATGCTAAAAAAACCCCCAAAAATCCCAAAATCCACGGAGTCACCCCAAAATCCCTTTGAGGGGTTTGAGACCCCAAATCCCACAGCAGGACCCCCAAATCCCCAAAAAAACCCCCAAAAATCCCAAAATCCACGGAGTCACCCCAAAATCCCTTTGAGGGGTTTGAGACCCCAAATCCCACAGCAGGACCCCCAAATCCCCAAAAAAACCCCCAAAAAAGCCAAAAAAACACCAAACCCCCCCAAAACCCCAAATCCACGGGGTCACCCCAAAATCCCTTCTAGGGGTTTGAGACCCCAAATCCCACAGCAGGACCCCAAAAATCCCCCCAAAAAACCCAAAAAACCTCTGTGATTCCTCCCATCCCAAATGCCCATTTTGAGGAATTTTGGGAATTTTGGGATGCCAACCCAAGGAAATTTTGGGATTTCTCCTATCCCAAATCCCCATTTTGGGGAAGTTTGGGATTCCAACCATGGGAATTTTGGGAATTTTGGGATTCCAATCCATGGAATTTTGGGATTCCTCCCATCCCAAATCCCCATTTTGGGGAATTTCGGGAATTCCCAATCCCAGGGGAATTTTGGGATTTCTCCCATCCCAAATCCCCATTTTGGGGAATTTTGGGAATTTTGGGATTCCAACCCAAACGAAATTTTGGGATTCCTCCCATCCCAAATTCCCCATCCCCAGGATGATTTTGGGATTCCTCTTCCTCAAAACTCTTTTCTAATGGGAATTTTGGGATTCCAAGCCATGAAAATTTTGGGATTCCTCCCATCCCAAATCCCCATTTTGGGGAATTTTGGGATTCTGACCCATGAGAATTTTTGGGATTCCTCCCATCCCAAATCCCAGGGAAATTTTGGGATTCCAACCCAAGGACATTTTGGGGATTTTTGGGATTCCAACCCAAGGAAATTTTGGGATTTGTCCTATCCCAAATCCCCATTTTGGGGAAGTTTGGGATTCCAACCCATGGGAATTTTGGGAATTTTGGGAATTTTTGGGAATCTGGGCTCTCCTCACCGGGTGTGCCGCCCATGGCGGTGCCGACGGCGCAGGGCGGGGACAGGAATTCCCAATCCCGGCGCCGATTTTGGAACCCAAATCCCAAGGAAATTTTGGGATTCCTCCCATCCCAAATCCCCATTTTGAGGAGTTTTGGGATTCTGACCCATGGGAATTTTGGGATTCCAATCCATGGAATTTTGGGATTTCTCTCATCCCAAATCCCCATTTCTGGGATTCCAACTCACGGGAATTTTTGGAATTCTGGGATTCCAGCCCATGGGAATTTTGGGAATTTTGGGAATTTTTGGGAATCTGGGCTCTCCTCACCGGGCGTGCCCCCCATGGCGGCGGCGACGGTGCAGCGTGCGGAACAGAAATTCCCAATCCCAGGGGAATTTTGGGATTCTGACCCATGGGAACTTTTGGAATTTGGGGAATTTTTGGGAATTTTGGGAATTTTTGGGAATCTGGGCTCTCCTCACCGGGCGTGCCCCCCATGGCGGTGGCGATGGCGCGGCGCAGCGTGGGGACGATGTCGCGCACGGCGCGGACGGAGAGCGCGGATTTGCAGAGCGTGCGGAAGAGCGGGACCTGCGGGATGTCCTGGAGAGCCCCGCGGCCCTGGAATGTGGGAATGTTATTGGGAATTCGGGAATTTGGGAATTCGGGAACGGCACTGGGAATTTGGGAGTTTGGGAATTCGGGAATTCAGGAATTTGGGAATGGCATTGGGAATTTGGGAAGAGCGGAACCTGCGGGATGTCCTGGAGAGCCCCACGGTCCTGGAAGCAGGGAATTCGGGAATGATATTGGGAATTTGGGAGTTTGGGAATTCAGGAGTTTGGGAATGGAACTGGGAATTTGGGAGTTTGGGAATTCAGGAGTTTGGGAATGGAACTGGGAATTTGGGAGTTTGGGAATTCAGGAGTTTGGGAATGGAACTGGGAATTTGGGAGTTTGGGAATTCAGGAGTTTGGGAATGGAACTGGGAATTTGGGAGTTTGGGAATTCAGGAGTTTGGGAATGGAACTGGGAATTTGGGAGTTTGGGAATTCAGGAATTCAGGAATTTGGGAATTTGGGAATGGCACTGGGAATTTGGGAATTCAGGAATTTGGGAATGGGCATCGGGAATTCCAAAATGGCACCGGGAATTTGGGAATGGCAAAGGGAATTTGGGAATGGGTATTGGGAATTCCAAAATGGCACCGGGAATTTGGGAATGGGCATCGATAATTTGGGAATGGGCAATGGGAATTCCAAAATGGCACCGGGAATTTGGGAATGGCAAAGGGAATTTGGGAATGGGCATTGGGAATTCAGGAATTCGGGAATGGCCTCGAGAATTTGGGAATGGCCTTGGGAATTTGAAAATTTGGGAATGGCATCGAAAATTCGGGAACGGGCATCGAAAATTCGGGAATTTGGGAATTGGGGACTGGCACCGGGAACGCGGGAAGGGCACCGGGACGGGGTCGGGCCGTGCCCACCTTCTGCAGGGAGGCGGCGGCGCCGCCCAGCAGCAGCAGCGGCGACTCGGCCATCTGCGCGTTCTTGACGGCCGTCACCGCGTTGGTGACGCCGGGACCCGCCGTGACGGCCGCCACGCCGATGGAGCCTGCGGGGACACGGGTGGGAATTTTGGGATTCCAATCCATGGAATTTTGGGATTCCTCCCATCCCAAATCCCCATTTTGAGGAGTTTTGGGATTCTGACCCATGGGAATTTTGGGATTCCAATCCATGGAATTTTGGGATTTCTCTCATCCCAAATCCCCATTTCTGGGATTCCAACTCACGGGAATTTTTGGGATTTCTCCCATCCCAAATCCCCATTTTGGGGAATTTTGGGATTCTGACCCATGAGAATTTTTGGGATTCCTCCCATCCCAAATCCCAGGGAAATTTTGGGATTCCAACCCAAGGACATTTTGGGGATTTTTGGGATTCCAACCCAAGGAAATTTTGGGATTTGTCCTATCCCAAATCCCCATTTTGGGGAAGTTTGGGATTCCAACCCATGGGAATTTTGGGAATTTTGGGAATTTTTGGGAATCTGGGCTCTCCTCACCGGGTGTGCCGCCCATGGCGGTGCCGACGGCGCAGGGCGGGGACAGGAATTCCCAATCCCGGCGCCGATTTTGGAACCCAAATCCCAAGGAAATTTTGGGATTCCTCCCATCCCAAATCCCCATTTTGAGGAGTTTTGGGATTCTGACCCATGGGAATTTTGGGATTCCAATCCATGGAATTTTGGGATTTCTCTCATCCCAAATCCCCATTTCTGGGATTCCAACTCACGGGAATGGCGTGCCCCCCATGGCGGTGGCGATGGCGCGGCGCAGCGTGGGGACGATGTCGCGCACGGCGCGGACGGAGAGCGCGGATTTGCAGAGCGTGCGGAAGAGCGGGACCTGCGGGATGTCCTGGAGAGCCCCGCGGCCCTGGAACGTGGGAATTCAGGAATGTTATTGGGAATTTGGGAATGATATTGGGAATTTGGGAGTTTGGGAATTGGGGAACTTGGGAATTTGGGAATTCAGGAATTCGGGAATTTGGGAAGAGCGGAACCTGCGGGGTGTCCTGGAGAGCCCCGCAGCCCTGGAGTGAGGGAATGTTATTGGGAATCCGGGAATTCGGGAACGGCACTGGGAATTTGGGAGTTTGGGAATTGGGGAACTTGGGAATTTGGGAATTCAGGAATTCGGGAATTTGGGAAGAGCGGGACCTGCGGGATGTCCTGGAGAGCCCCGCGGCCCTGGAACCAGGGAATGTTATTGGGAATTTGGGAGTTTGGGAATTCAGGAATTTGGGAATGGCAGCGGGACATCAAGATGGCTCCAATATGGCCTCAAAATGGCGCCAAGATGGCTCCATGGTGGCACCAAGATGGCTCCATGGTGACACCAAAATGGCTCCATGGTGACACCAAGATGGCTCCATGGTGGCATCAAGTTGGCATCAACATGGCTCCAAGATGGCCTCAAAATGGCTTCAAGTTGGCACCAAGATGGCTCCATGGTGGCATCAAGGTGGCATCAAGATGGCTCCAAGATGGCCTCAAAATGGCGCCAAGATGGCTCCATGGTGACACCAAGATGGTTCCAATGTGGCAACAAGGTGGGTCCATGGTGGCACCAAGGTGGGTCCATGGTGGCATCAAGTTGGCATCAAGATGGCTCCAAGATGGCCTCAAAATGGCGCCAAGATGGCTCCATGGTGACACCAAGGTGGCATCCAGATGGCTCCATGGTGGCACCAACATGGCTCCAAGATGGCCTCAATACGGCACCAAGATGGCTCCAAGGTGGCACCAAGGCAGCATCAAGATGGCTCCAATATGGCCTCAAAATGGTGCCAAGATGGCTCCATGGTGACACCAAGATGGGTCCATGGTGACACCAAAATGGGTCCATGGTGGCACCAAGGTGGGTCCATGGTGGCACCAAGGTGGCACCAAGAAGACATCACATTGGCTCCAAGGTGGCACCAAGGTGGACAGATGGCATCAGAGGGGGACACCCCAAAACCCCCTGGAGATGTTGCCCATGGGGCCACCTCCATCCCTTGGGGACAAATGGGGACAAATCCCACCCTGGACACCCCAAAGTCCTTAAAGCCTCTCAGGTCACCCAGGACCCATCAAGGAGGGACACCCCAAAACCCTCTGGAGATGTTGGCCCCATCCCTTGGGGACAAATGGGGACAAATCCCACCTGGACATCCCAAAGTCTTGGAACAATCTCAGGTCACCCAGGACCCACCAACATGGGACACCCCAAAACCCTCTGGAGATGTTGGCCATGGGGCCACCTCCTGTGCCACCTCCATCCCTTGGGGACAAATCCCACCCTCGACACCCCAAAGTCATGGAACGCTCTCAGGTCACCCAAGACCCACCAACATGGGACACCCCACAACCCTCTGGAGATGTTGGCCCCATCCCTTGGGGACAAATGGGGACAAATCCCACCTTGGATACCCCAAAGTCTTGGAACCCTCTCAGGTCACCCAAGACCCACCAACATGGGACACCCCAAAACCCTCTGGAGATGTTGGCCATGGGACCACCTCCATCCCTTGGGGCCAAAATGGGGCCAGCCCCGCGCGGGGTCCCCGGTGCTGACCCGAGAGCCGCGAGACGGCGTCGGCGGCGAAGACGGCGGTGGCCTCGTGGCGCGTGTCCACCACGCGGATGCCGATCTTCTCGCAGGCCACCAGCACGGGCGAGATGTGGCCGCCGGGCAGCGTGAACAGGAAGCGCACGCCGTGCGCCCGCAGCACCTCGGCCACCAGCTCGCCGCCGTGACGGGGACTCGCCGCGTCCACCTGGGGACACCGCGGGGCCAGTGGGACACGGTGTCACCTGTGACCTCCATGCCACCCGTGTCACCTGTCCTCAATGTCCTCCATGCCACCGGTGTCACCTGTCCTCAGTGTCCTCCATCCCACCGGTGTCACCTGTCCTCAATGTTCTCCACCCCACCGGTGTCACCTGTCCTCAATGTCCTCCACCCCACCTGTGTCACCTGTCCCCAGTGTCCTCCATGCCACCAGTGTCACCTGTCCCCAGTGTTCTCCATCCCACCAGTATCAAGATGGCTCCAATA